TGTAGTATGATTCTCGAAGAGGCACGTCAGGGATGCTATCCTGAAAGCAGTTGCTGCGACACCCCTGAAGGTGGGGGAGAATGCTGTCAGAACGCTAAAGGATATTCCATTTGAAGTAAGACAACGCAGAAAGAAATACAAAGAACTTGTGTTTTTCCTCCAAACAAACTCAATTGGATATAAATGGCTGTTTCCAGAAGGAGTAATATTCAAGGTCAAGCAGAAGAAGGTCAAGATTGACTCTGTTCTTAAAGCTCAAGAGTTTCTAAAGGAGCAGCTGGGAAGGCCGGAGGACGAGACAAAAGAAGAGGATGATAAGTCCAGTGGAGAGCTAGAAACTGGTTTGTCTGGTGAGGACTCTTTGTCTGAGCAGGGGGCATCAGCCCCGAAAAGTTCCTACAAACTGCGGAAGAGAGAGACGAAGAAGTAAAGGCTGAAGGACTCTGAATTGTGCCTTTGAGAACTTTGGTTCTAGGGGATGATGGGGGGCACTGTTATTGGGCAATTAAATGTAACTGGGGATGGTTAAAAGGGTTAAAAGATTGACACAGTTCATAAGAAGTACAAAGATGAAAAGTCTGAATGAAGTATAAAAAGCAAGTTGGAGATCTCCTCTCTTGGGTTTTTAGTTAGTAGTGGGTTCTTTACTTTCTCCCTTATATGTAGCTTTCCCTTTCCCTTTTTTCTGTTCTAGTTTTTGTAGTGTTTAAAAAATCAATAAAAAATCCCCTCCGGGGGCTTAAAAAAATAAAAAGAAAGAAAGAAAAGGAGTAGGAGAAAGAACCTTGAATCTCTCTTAACTTCTATAATTTTCAGGAAGAAAGCTGCAATATACAAATCCTATGACTTGTGCTGCAGGTTTCAGATTTTGCCTTAGTATTTGCCAAAGTCATGTTGAAGTTTGTTAGAAGTAGTGCAGCTGACCGTCATTCTTTTGGGAGGACATAAAATAATTTGAAGATAAAGTGTGCATTGTGGAATCCATAAAAAGGTTTGACTATATATATTTTTAATTCTAATGATTCTTTCCATTTTTAATTGACCGAACTGCTCTTTTTGTTTACATTAATGAACAATACAATGTTGACAAAGCAAACATGACTTACTGGTGCATTCAGGTTATCTGTAAGTGAGAGACAACATATCAGTGCAGCAGGAAGAAAGACTACAAAATGATTGAATGAAACGGGAACTCTTTATGACCCAGCTGTGGCAGCTAATCAGGTGTCCTTTGTCACAGATCTTTTGCTATATATCTTGTGATAAATTAGCGGAAGGCTTTTACAGTTATCTTGTTTATCCAGGTTCCAAGCCAATCTCAGTCATCATAGCAATTTTCTATTTTAGTGGGTCTTTAACATTGATAAAACATATATATGTTTCTTTATCAGAAACCCAAGGAAATAACCTTTTTTTTGCCAACTAAAGAAATTCTATACAATACTAATTGTGTGACTAATCTTCAGCAGTTAGATACTCTATTGCTGTATTGTTTCTTTGCATGTACATTTTTAAATTTAAGTAT